GTTATACCTGATGTAAATGACGAGTTGATGGGTGCTGACGAGTTGATGGGTGCAGCACACCAACATGGCACAAGTATACATATGTAACAAACCTGCACATTATGCACATGTACCCTAGAACTTAAAGTATAATAATAATAAAAAAAAAAACTAAAAGAATATAATCAAATTGTTTGAAACACAAAGGATAAATGCTTGATGTAACAGAAACCCTATTTACCCTTATGTGATTATTACACACTGTATGCCTGTATCAAAATATCCCATATTCCCCATAAATATATGCACCTACTATGTACTCACAAAAATTAAAAAACAAAGAAACAAAAAAAAAACAAGACATTTCAACTTTAGAATTTTTTTTAAAACCCTAATTTTAAATACCTTCAGGTGATCGAAGTCTTTTACACATTTGGACAGCTAGTGCTGAAGAATACAAGTATATATAATTCATCTTAATTCATTTTTGTAACCTGTCTCATGATCTTTCCTTCTGCTGCAATTATTATTTTTGGTGGAAGTCAGTAGAATCTTCTGTAATAGCACTTTTCTAGGTTTTTGAATCAGCTTATTTAATCTAAAGCATAATAAAGTAGAACTCTCAAATTCACAGTCTTCATAAACCACCTGGTTAACCAAGACCAATGTAAAAAAACAACTAGTTTTTGTTACCTCGACATCATAGATTGGATTGTAGTCATTATAGCCGGAATAAAGATCATCTTCATCTGTCTCTGGAGCCAGGTGCACATTTTGCATCATTTATACCTAGGAAAAATTGGCAGTGTAAATATGTTCTTGGTATAAGAAATATATATATATTTTTTGAGATACGTCTTGCTCTGTTGCCCAGGCTGGAATGCAGTAGCACAATCACGGCTCACTATAGCCTTGACTTCTCTGGCACAAGTGATCCTCCCACCTCAGCCTCGCTGGTACTACAGGCTTGTGCCACCACACCCAACTGAGTACGAAATTTTTTGTAAAGATGGGATCTCCCTATGTTGCTCAGGCTGGACTCAACCTCCTGAGCTCAAGTGATCCTCTCACTTTGGCCTCCCAAAATGCTGGGATTACTAGCATAAGCCACCATGCCAGGCCAGAAATAATTCTTAATTCCAATAAAGTATAACTATTCAATAACATTTCTGGTCAAATTTATCTATATATATTTTCAAGGTTTCAATTTTTTTCACATCAAATTCCCAAAACTAGATGTCAAAACATTAAGTTATTGCCCTCATTTCACATTGATTTCACAACCACGACACTGAAAGAACAGTGACAGGCACTAGAGGGGGGTACAAGTGATTGTCCTGATTTTCATGGAGCTCAGTATCAAGTGTAGAAGAAAGGTATGCAATAGTCAATTAAAATGCAAGGCAGAAACCACCATATACCCATCAGAATGTGTAAAATTAAAAAGACCAACAACACATAATGTCAGCAAAGATGTAGAGCAACCAGAGTCCTCACACATTGCTGATGGGAGTGTAAAATGATACATTTTGGGAGAAAAGTCTTGCAGTTTCATAAAATTAACATGTACCTTTTATGACCCAGCAATTCCACTCAAAAATTTTTACTCAAGAGAAATGAAAACATATGACTACAAAAAGATTTGTATAAGAATGTTCATAGCAGCTGTCGACCTAAAGGAAGGAATTGAGGCATAAAATATAATTCTACAAAGGTTACTTGAGCCAAAATGAGGATGGCTGCCTGCCCAGAAGACTCAGACTTCATAACCCTGAGCAGGCGCTCCCTTTGGCCTTTGTTTCAAGCAGATCCTTAAAGGCAAAAAAGTGGGGCAGGCAGTGGGCTGGTACAAAGCTGTCTGTCAGAAATTCTCACTGGTTTACGAAAATAATGTTGATTAGTGATTGGCTACATTGTATGGGTTATAGTATCCAGATGGTGACGTTGTTAGATTAATTTACAGCTACTTGTGGCAATAGCAAGCAAGTTTCAAGATATGATTACTTAGCCCAAGAAGGTAAAGGAGATGTGACTGCTGTTTCACTCCCACGCCTCTCTGGACCTGGTAATTTAGAGGAGACTCTCATTCTTCAAATTAAACCTTTCTTTTCTTTGCCACAGCTTTATTCATAATACCGAAAAATAAGAAACAAACCAGACACCCATCAGTAAAATGGACAAGCAAAATGTGGCATACTTACACAATGAAGTACTATCCAGCAATAAAAAAGAATCCCAATTATGCTGAGTGAAAGAAGCCTTACGTAAAGCAGTACATTATGCACTGTTTTCTTTACACAAAGTTCTCAAACAGACAAAACTAATTTATAGTAGAAAACCATCAGAACTGAGGTCGCTTCTTGGGGATGGGGGGTAGGGAATGAATGGAAAAGGACACGAGAGAATTTTCTGGGGCGATGATAAATGTTCTATATCTTGGCAGGGGTTTGAGTCACACAAGTGTATGCATTTGTGAAAACTCAGCAAACGTACACTGAGATTTCTGCTTTGTAATTTTATCTCAAAAGAACTATAAACAAATATTGAACTGTATAATTGATATGCAAGCTGGTATTTCAGGGAAAGTATAATAGCTGTAATTTAGCTTAAAATACATAAAATAAGACGGCTTTGGCCGGGCGCTGTGGCTCACACCTGTAATTCCAACACTTTGGAAGGCCAAGACAGGTGGATTACTTGAGGTCCAGAGTTTGAGACCAGCTTGGTCAACATGCTGAAACCCTGTCGCTACTAAAAATATAAAAACTAGCAGGGCATGGTGGTGCATACCTGTAATTCAAGCTACTCAGGAGGCTGAGGCATGAGAATCGCTTGAACCCAGAAGGCAGAGGTTGCAGTGAGCTGAGATCATGCCACTGCACTCCAACCTGGTTGACAGTGAGACTCTGTCCCTCTAAAAAAAAGATGGCTTGATAGATGGATTGAGAGATAGGTAAATGGATAAGTACATGATAAAGCAACTATAGAAAAAGGTTAATGGTGGAATCTAGGTAGCAGGAGTAACATTCACCATAAAATTCTTTAAACCTTGCTGCATGTTTGAAAATTTTCATAACGAAATGTTGAGGGAAAAAAATGAAAGACAGAAAAAAAAGATATCAAAGCAAAGTGAAACAGAAGAGTAAAAGCTGATCATACAAATTGAGTCATTCTTCTCACACCCAACTAAAACAGAGTCAAGAAGCTGGTGTGTGTTGGTGGGGAGGCACTCAGGACGCACAACATTGCTTAAAGAGTGGCTGCTGAAACTGGCTGCTATAACCTGAGGCCAATTTTATTTATAGCTGCTGAGATAACTTGCTGCAAACATAGGACTAATTCTGGCCACCACAGCTACCCACCAATTAGAACTTGCCAGCTTCCCAGAACCTCACTAGTTTCAGTGAACTTTCTCAAAGAGCACTACATAACATTTCTCCTTTTGATAAAAAAAACTTTCTCTTTGTTCTTTGGACATACCAAAGACCACCTGGTCCTCAAACTGCAATTCTTTCTTCCCAAATAAAAACGTAATTTTTATTTGGGAAGAATAAAAATAAATTTCTTCTAATGGCAGCTCTCCATGCCTCCCTTCCCTTTCCCCAGTCCCTGGTAACCATTAATGTATTTTCTGTCTGTATGGATTTGCCAATTCTGGACATTTCATGTTAAGGAAATTACACAATTTTAAATTTAAATTTCAGCTGGGTGTAGTGGCTCATGCCTGTAATCCCAGCACTTTGGGAGGCTGAGGTGGGCAGATCACGAGGTCAGGAGATTGAGACCATCCTGGCTAACGCGGTGAAACCCTGTCTGTACTAAAAAATACAAAAAATTAGCCAGGCATGGTGGCAAGCGCCTGTAGTCCCGGCTACTTGGGAGGGTAAGGCAGGAGAATGGCGTGAACCCGGAAGGCAGAGCTCACAGTGAGCCAAGATCACGCCACCGCACTCCAGCCTGGGCAACAGAGCAAGACTCCATCTCAAAAAAAAAAAGGTAAAATTTCAAGATTCATCTCTACATTTTGACTTGGACAGAAGCATGGAGAAATGAAACTACCATATAGATATACTGTAAATCTAATAATTACTAAAGAATCTGGCAAGGATTCTTGGAAGTATCATTCAAATCAAGTCAATATTTTAGGCAATTTGAGGGGTGGGAGGTGGAGGAGGGCTAATTACCCAAGAAATGTAGTATTGCTAGTATCTAAGAAATGTATTTTCTTTAAAGCAAATATATATTTTCTTTAAGACCTGTACATTTTAAGTTCACCAGCAAATTCCTAAGAAATTTTCAGGTTAGGCCGGGCACAGTGGCTCACGCCTATAATCTCAGCACTTTGGGAGGCTGAGGCGGGTGGATCACGAGGTCAGGAGATCGAGACCATCCTGGCTAATATGGTGAAACCCCGTCTCTACTAAAAATACAAAAAAATTAGCCAGGCATGATGGCAGGCACCTGTAATCCCAGCTACTCGGGAGGCTGAGGCAGGGGAACTGCCTGAACCTGGGAGGCAGAGGTTGCAGTAGGCTGAGATTGCGCCACTGCACTCCGGCCTGGGTGACACAGCCAGACTCCATCTCAAAAAATAAATAAATAAAAATAAAAATAAAAAAATAAATTTTCAGCTTAATCTTTTTCTCAGCATAATACCATACATATGTGGCTTCTCACAACCTTTAAAAATTATTTACATATTTTAAGTACTAACAAAATTAGTTTTGAGCTATAGTTTGTATACTATACAATTTAACTTTTCAAGGTACGTAATTCAGTGGTTTTTAGTATATTCACAAGGCTGTGCAACCATCCCCAGTATGTAATTCCAGAACATTTTCATCATCCCAATAAAGAAATATGGGGCCTGTTAGCAGCTCTCCATGCCTCCCTTCCCTTTCCCCAGTCCCTGGCAACCATTAATCTATTTTGTCTCTATGGATTTGCCAATTCCGGACATTTCATGTTAAGGAAATTACACAATATGTAGCCTTTTGGGTCTGGTCTCTTTCACTTAGCATAATGCTTTCAAGGTTCATCCATGCAGTAGTATGTATCAATATTTCATTACTGTTTAAGGCTAAATAATACATCTACAACATTTTGCTTATCCATTCATTAGTTAACGGACGTTTGGACTGTTTCCATTTTTTGACTTTTATGTATAACATCACTATGAACGTGTGTGTACAAGTTTTAGCATGGATATATATGTTCAGTTCTATTGGGAATATATCTAGGAAAGGAATTGCTGGATTATATAGTAACTCTATGTTTAACTTTTGGAAGAACAGCTAGACTGTTTTCCAAAGTGGCTGCATATTTTACATCCCACCTGCAATGTATGAAGGTTCCAATTTATCCATGTCCTAGCCAACACTTGTTATTGTTCCTGTTTCTGATTATAGCAATTCTAGTGAGTATGAAATGGTATCCCATTGTAGTATTGACTTGCATTCCCCTGATGACTAATGATGTTGAACATCTTTTCATCTTATTACCCATTTCTGTATCTCTTTGGAGAAATGTCTGTTCAGATCTTCTGCTCACTTTTTTTTTTTTTTTTTTTTTGAGACAGAATCTCGCTCTGCCACCTAGGCTACAGTGCAGTGGCGCAATCTCGGCTCACTGCAAGCTCCGCCTCCCAGTTTTATGCCATTCTCCTGCCTCAGTCTCCCGAGTAGCTGGGACTACAGGCGCCCGCCACCACATCCAGCAAATTTTTGTTTTTTTGTATTTTTTGTATTTTTAGTAAAGACGGGGTTTCACCATGTTAGCCGGGATGGTCTTGATCTCCTGACCTCGTGACCCACCCGCCTCGGCCTCCCAAACTGCTGAGATTACAGGCGTGAGCCACGGTGCCCAGCCTGCTCATTCCTAAAAATCAGGTTATCACATGAATTATAAAGATCCTCTACATATTCTGGATTCTAAACATTATATAAATGATTTACAAATACTTTCCCCCATCCTATGCCTCATCATTTTACATTCTTTGTAGTATACTTTGAAGCACAAATGTTTTAAATGTTGATGATATACAATTTATTTTTTCTTTGGTTGCATGTACTTTTGGTATCATATGTAAGAAAGAATTGCCTAATCCAAGGTCAAGAATATTTATACCTGTGGATTTTTTCTAATAGTTTTATAGTTTTAGCTTATATTTAAGTCACTGATCAATTTTGAGTTAATTTCTCATAATTTTTTGAAATGAAAATTAACTACTGTAAGGGCAAATGTCACCCACATAGAAATGGCCATTTCAAAATAGCTTCAAAAGGTATTAAAAGTCAGTGGTAAAAGATATATAAAATATTTTTAATTAAAAGTTTTAGCTCAGATAATATTAAACCAGTGGTTCTCAAACCCAAGTGATGCTGAGGCTGCTGGTCTGGGGACCACACTTTGAGAACCACTATTCTGAACCATAATTTCGGATTATGAACCCTATTTAAGTCAGTTTAGTTGACACATAAGTTATAGAAAGAAGCAACTTTTAGAATGAGAAATCCTTTCTGCTAGGTTGTAACCAGATTTTTAAAAGGTTTGACTTGAGATTTTAATTGAATAGACATCTTGTGGAATATACAAATGTTAAAAGATGTGGAAAGTGAGGCCAGGAAAAGTGAAGGGAATCAAGCATGGCTAATAGCTATGGGTGGCAGAACAACTGTTGTTATACAACCCAGGGTTTCTGGATTCTCCAGGCTATTTCCAAAACAGCTTATACATGTAACAAACCTTCCATGTTGAAATAATCTGAGGATAATGCCACCTATATTTAATATAAATTAAATGCTAGTAAAGCTTTTTTTTAAACTATGTTTTTTAATACTCTTCTACTGACTATGATGGACAGTCTACTTCAAGCTTTTCCAACCCCGGCCCGCACGTGGCACAGGACGGCTTTGAATGCCGCCCAACACAAATTCGTAAACTTTCTGAAAGCATTATGAGATTTTTTTGCGATTTTTTTAAAGCTCATCAGCT